TCCAGGAAGTAAAGGTCACTGCCCAGGACCCCCATAAAACTAGAGTTCAAAGACCTTCTTCTTCCTGGAAGATTGCAACCATGGCGACAATGGAGGTGCTAAGCCAATCACAGTTAAGCATAGCCAACTAATAGCGAACCAGAAGCAGGTACGTAGAACGATCTCGACCAATGAGAAGCCGAGATAGTTAATGGCGATTATCTCGGACAAGAAGTTAGGGAGAAGGTAGGTAACCGGGCTAGAAGCAAGGTGTGCTCAACTTAGGCTCCGACCAAGGTAAAAATCCTCTCGATCATGTGAAGGGCAAGGTACCTCCTCCAGTCTCAATCACTCTCTCCCTTTCGCGAAGTCCAGGTTCTATCCCATCCAGGTGCTCGTTATTTCCCCTGTGGAAACCCACCAATCGATCAAGACTGCGCCATCAATCATCAATTCAACATAATCCGACATAGGATTCACCACGATTCACCAATCCCACAGTAAGTTGACAGGAGTCAACAGGATCTTACACAGGTAACAACAGGATCCGACAGAGAGTCGACAGGATTCAATCGAAATATCATATATATATATATAATTTTAAATAGAATATTATTTTAATATAACATATATATATAATAAAAATGGCATATCCTGACCAGGAGCACATGTGCTTTACAGAAGGCAGAGCGCCATCTGGTGGAACAGAAATCAACTAAACATTGATTTAGCCTATTCCCTGATATTTGGCCAACCCAATTTCTTGATAAATCAAGAAAAGCCATCCACGAACGCGTTTCGCGCTTTTTGGCGCTCGTCAGCGTGGAGTAGGCTGAACCACTGCGACAAAAAATATTTTTTGGTCCCAGTAGCTTCCTGAAAAACCAAGAAATGGGTATTTAAGGCCAAACTTGCGTAAATACGCTTAACACATGAAAAAACGAAAGAAAAAAAAATGATAAAAAGATCAGGTGTTGAAATCAATAATAAAAATGGCATATCCTGACCAGGAGCACATGTGCTTTACAGAAGGCAGGGCTCCATCTGGTGGAACAGAAATCAACTAAACATTGATTTAGCCTGTTCCCTGATATTTGGCCAACCCAATTTCTTGATAAATCAAGAAAAGCCATCCACGAACGCGTTTCGCGCTTTTTGGCGCTCGTCAGCGTGGAGTAGGCTGAACCACTGCGACCAAAAAGATTTTTTGGTCCCAGTGGCTTCCTGAAAAAACAAGAAATGGATATTTAAGGCCAAACTTGCGTAAATACGCTTAACACATGAAAAAAAAACGAAAGAAAAAAATAAATGATAAAAAGATTAGGTGTTGAAATCAATAATAAAAATGGCATATCCTGACCAGGAGCACATGTGCTTTACAGAAGGCAGAGCGCCATCTGGTGGAACAGAAATCAACTAAACATTGATTTAGCCTGTTCCCTGATATTTGGCAAACCCAATTTCTTGATAAATCAAGAAAAGCCATCCACGAACGCGTTTCGCGCTTTTTTTTTTTGCCACAACCCTTCCCTCCATATCAATTTCATCCGATCCCTTGCCTTGAAGAAATGATAATCCTCGGGGTCAAATTTGACTCTCGCCTCTCCTTTTCCTCCCACCTCAACTATATCTGCTCTAAAATTTTTAACCTCTTTCCTCGACTACACACCTGCGCGAACGCATACTATGGACTGGGTTTCAAGGCCCGCCGATTAATGTACACCACAGTTTTCGAACCTACCCTTACATACGCGGCAGCCATTTGGGGTGTGGCCGCTAAATCTAGGGCTGGTAGGAGCCTACTTCGATCAACACAGAGGAAATTTTGCATCAACAAAATCCGCGGCTTCCGCACGACACCAACCCTTACCTCCATTGCACTGATGAGGACGCTCCCCCTGGATCTAAAAATACTCCTACTTTCTGCCACCTTCTCTCCACCAAGACCTCTACCTTTCAAACTTGAGGACCGTCCCCGTCCCTACACCTATCCTCCACCTCAATCCCTACCTCGAATCTGCCATTCCCACCTGCCTCCTGATAATCCTGCCGTCACATACTTTGCTGATGGTTCTAAGACATCCACAGGCGTAGGCGCCGGGATATTCAGGACTTTTTCTCTTTCCCTTGTTCCCCCCTTTGAAGCATCCATCCCTCTCTCAAACCATTGTTCAGTCCTACAAGCGGAGAGTTTTGCACTTCTCTCAGCCTTGAAAGACATTTTTTCTCTTCCACCACATCTCCCCGTGGCAATCTTCTTGGACTGCCTCTCACTTCTTCTCTTTGCCAGACTCACATTGTCGTCATCCCCTAATCCACAGATGTCAAACTACCCTTTACAAACTTCTTGATTCACGTAGAGTCACACTCCACTGGGTCAAAGGTCATTCTGGAAACTTTGGTAAATGCCGTGCGGACGCCCTTGCGAGATCTGCCTCTGCGAACACCGCCTCTCCCGCTCAATACAAACTAGTCTCACGCTGCACCCCTTTTAACCATCTTAGCAAATCCTTCTGGGACACATGGGAGTAGGAATTCTTCACCGCCAACCCTACAATCTACAAGAACCTGGGTATCTCTCCTCGTTCTTTATCTTCATCCCACAAACACATCATACCTGATTGTGCAATAACTACAGGTCTTGTTACTGGACACACATGGATAGGGTCCTTTGACAAAACCAAACATATACGTGCCCTAACATGCAACCACTGTCTCTCCTCCCCAGAAACAATTTCACATATCTTCTTTGAGTGTCCCAATCTTGATCCTGAACGATCACAACTGTATACAGCCTGCTTCAGGACCATTGGGTACATACCTCTAACCTAGAAGGACCTTTTTTGGAAGGACAAACTTTGGAAATTAATTCTAAGATTTGCACATGTCAGCGGTAGATTTGTCCCTTCTAATATAACAGCTTCGACCTCAACCTAACTTAGATCATTTTGCTTTGTCCACTGCAACCGCATATGTTCCTCTTTCAAATAATTTTCTTCCTTTTAACATAATGATGCCTTCCCTAACTGTATATAGTCTCCTTTGCTATCCCCTCCATTTTCAGCCCTTGGGAAATTAAAGATAAATATTAAAAATAAAATAAAGTAAAAAATAAATAAAATATAAATAATTTTTTTTTAAATCCTGACATAAAATAAATTGAAAAAAAAACAACCTCTAGAGGCAATATGGTCATAATTTTAACTATATAGATATTATAAAAAAACGAAAAAACAACGATAAATAAATAAATCAAAATGAATAAATAAATAAATAAAATAAATAAATCCCCACATCATTCCCCTGGCTGCCTATGAACTTGTTATTGTATTATAACTCTAATGTACCCTTCCAATTTATACTTTCATAACCTTTCTTTAACTATCTGCCCACTCTAGTATTTATAACCTGTACATATCCGGGACTCACCTCTTGACTTGCTCTCCTTACCAGACCCACCTTTGCACTGAACCTTCTTAAGATGAGCCCGGAAAAATCCCCAGATGGACTTGAGCGGGCGATGTAAGTGTAACCCGTCACATTCTGGGGCGGATGTTGTTGTTTCCCGATGGCCTGTCCTTCACTTTCCCAATTCTGCAAAATCAAAGCGGTTTGTGGACGGAATTAAGACCGCCAACATTGACGGTCTTAAAGTCCTACCAAATCCGACATTCAGGCCTAGGTTGGCCATTTTCGGCATCCCTGTCGAAAAATCTGAATATGATCTGGTTTCTGATCTGATGGAAAACCCTGTGATAGCCCCGCAGTTTATTAATAACAGCGGCGGCTTGAAGCTGGTTAAATTGATTAGGAAGGAAGGTTCGCCTTTCACCGTTATCATAGAGGTTACTGGCATCGAGGAAGCTCTTCTTGCACGCGGTCACGTCACTGTTGACTTCCTGTCCCTCGGGCTCGCCCGGGCGAAACGCGTCATCCCATGTGGTATCTGCGGTAGCCTCTCTCACAGGACGCACACTAATGGTAAAAAGTGCATCAAAGCGCCCAAGTGCGCCAATTGTGCAGGTGCACATTTTACCACTGCCTGTGAAAATAAAACCGTGCTTAAGTGTCACAGGTGCGGTGACAAGCACAATTCAAACTCCATGATGTGCAAGCACATGCGAGATACCCAGGATCAATTCAATAAGTTGATGGTCGAATGAATGTTTTCAAGGGCCTACAAATTAATATATACAGTTATCAGCGTCATAATCAATTATTTCTTAATTCTGTCACCGTTTGCTTCTGATTCAGTGGTAGAATGCTCGCCTGCCACGCGGGCGCCCCGGGTTCGATTCCCGGCCGATGCATTTTTTTTTTTTTTACAATTTTTAAACTCTTTTTATATTATTAAAATATATGTGCTTTTCCTGTCTATGTACAGATTTATGGTCTATGTACACAAGTATACAAGTATGTAAGTTATTTGCAAATTGCGTGGCAAATTTGCCCTTTCGCTCGCAAGCAGCGCCTCTAGCGGTGAAGATGGGAGGTAATATCAGCTGACCTAATGGACATGTAAAACGTGTTTTAACAGGACATAGAGAAAATCTGGAAAATATATTTTTCGGATTTTTAGTCAATAAAAATAAATTGACAGGTTCTGGGAAAAAAAGTAGTTATTTTTTATTCAGAAAATGATTATGACAATATTGCTGTATCATATTTGATTATCAGATACAAAATTATATCCGGAAAAATTCCAAAAAGCAGAGACCACGGGTGAAGCCAGTTAATTTTTAGTATGCAGGAATAAAATTCTAACAGAAAAACATTCATTCGAGCAGAAGACCCAAAGCCAGATCATCTCTTTATAAAAATATCACTTCTCAGACACAAAGTTTGGAGCGGGACGTTTCACAAGAATGACATCCACGGCGCCAATTTATAATTGTAACGAATAGTATTTGAATAAAAGCATTTAATCGGGTAAAACCCGGGCATTGCCCTTTCTTAATCAATTCTGTCACCGTTTGATTTTGTGAGTGGAATAAATACCCAAATATGGCCATTTCTCATAACCATCGGTGGTTCAGTGATAGAATGCTCGCCTGCCAACCGGGCGGCCCGGGTTCGATTCCCGGCCGATGCATTTTTTTTTTACAATTTTTAAAACTCATTTATATATTATACAAGAATGACATCCACGGCGCCAATTTATAATTGTAACGAATAGTATTTGAATAAAAGCATTGCCCGGGTCATTCGGCTAGTCAATATAAGACGCTCTCAGTCTTGTTTGTATTCAGTGTTGAATGATTGTCGTGAGGAGAACATAGATTTACTACTTTTACAAGAGATCCCAGCCGGGCGCGGCAAAATCCCATCGCTGCTAATCCCATCTAACAGAGTTTGCTATGGCCCTATTACAAACTCTAGTTTAGGAGCTATGGCCATTGTAGTAAATCCTAGCCTTAAATTTGTCCATTTGTCTCATTTGTCCAGTGTTAATGTCGTGTTTGTCATGTGTAAATTAAGTGGTAAATGTATTCTTCTTTGTAATGTTCACCTTCCGCCATCATGTGACCCCTCCCCTTTTCTAGATAAGATAAACTTTAGCCTTAAGTCTCTGAACTAGACGAGGTAATTTTTTGCGGCGATCTAAATGTTGAATCTTTTAGGTGGTCGGATAAACCTCTGCTCCTCAGGCATGACTCAACTAAGAGAGATCTAGTTGAAAACTTTATAGATGGCAACTATTTGCATGTGCTCAACACGCACGGCGCGGTGACGTGGGAGGAGGGCAACCGCTTTTCTTCCATCGACGTCACTTGCTGTAGTGCTGGCCTTGTAAATGGCGTTACCGATTGGCATCCTGAGTACCAGGAGTTGTCTGACCACAAACGCCTCGTCTTTAACCTAACTTTCGCTCCCTCTTCACAGGACAACACCAGATTTAGATTAAATAAATTTAACGATATACTTGTATATACTATGTATATACTATATATATATACTATATATATACTATGTATATACTATGTATATACTTCAGCTTTGGTCTCGCTGACTGGGATAGAGTTTTTGAACATTTCAGCTAAAAATAGAAAATATTAATCTTTTTTTTTTAGAAAACGTGCGCGACTCATCCTCCCTCGACGATGTAATTAATTTACTCAGCGAAAAGATTTTTTCACACATGTCTAAACACCATTCCATCCCGTCCCAGGGTGATAAATACCTCAAGTCCATCTCTTGGAGGAAATCTGATTTGATTCCGCTCAAAAGGGCCACTCAAAAGGCAACAGCGGGCCTTTATAAAGGCACGCGGTGTCGTTAAAGGTGTGCTAGAGGTCTTTTACAAGAGACTGAAGGCAAGATACCGCCGTGCGAGGAGACTGGCTAAGAAAGAAGCATGGAGGGCAGCCTGCTCGCGTTACGAAATGAGCCCTTGGGGTGGAATCTACAGTTTCATCAAGGGAAATTTTAAGCGCAAACCCCTCTCAGCTCTCCCAGTTGGCAGCGGCTTCACTGAAGGTCCGCGGGACACATTAAATCACGCATTAGAATACTATTTCGGCCGCGTCCCGCCCGACACCATGTTAGAACACAAAGATTTAAGCAAAGTCATCACATCGTTATCTGATAACGACTCTTTGTTTACAGATAACGAGTTGTTGTTGACAGCGGATAAGGTGCGCTTATCTTCTTCTCCTGGCAGTGATGGCATGGCTCCCATTCTTATCGTAAAACTAGTTAAACATTTTCGGACGTTTTTTCTAAATATTTTAACAAGTGTTTAACCACTGGCCACTTTCCATCTAGATGGAAGCTGGGGGAGGACTTTCTCGCATCACACCGTCCAATCACGATGCTGCCTGGTTTGGGCAAGATCCTTGAGCGTCTAGTTCTTGCTAGGCTGTCGTGGAAGGCCGATAGGATATGTAAAGCGCCTCCAAACCAGTTCGGATTTAAGCCTTGTAGATCTACAACAGCCGCACTCTTAAATCTAAAATCTACTTTAACCCGGACGAATAAAAATAGGAAATCTTGTCTTCTTTCTTTTGATGTTAAAGGCACTTTTGACAGCGTGCTCCATTCCAGTATCTTGAGAGCGTTGCACAAAAGCGTTTGTCCCAGAAACATTTATCATCTGATAAACTCGTTTCTATGTAACCGTGTTGTGAGACTATCTATGAATGGTTGTACTGTGTCGAGACGAATTTCCAAAGGATGTCCCCAGGGTTCAGTTCTCGGCCCTTTCCTTTGGAATATTGTCTTTGACGAACTCCTCACGCTGGATTACAGGAGTAATGTTTTCCCGCAAGCCTACGCGGATGATCTGGTCGTGGTGGTCTCGGGATGTCGACCTAGTCAACTTCCCGCGGCCCAACACACCATAGATAAGATTGCTAGGTGGTGCAGTTTGCATAAACTGGAACTCAGCGTGGGGAAGTGCCAGGCTATGGTTCTCCTCAGACCACACGGGAGACTGCCTGAACCGCGTCGGGATCTGGTTATCCACGGACGGCCAATCCAATGGTGCGACTCAATTAAGGTGCTGGGAGTAAGATTTAATCAACATCTATCTTTCCACCAGAACGTAGTTGAAGTCTGCGCCAAGGTCCGCGGCATGTTGCCGCGTTTGACCGCAGCCGCTAATCTCAACTTTGGTTTTGGTTACCGCGCCTTGAGATCTCTGTATCTGCAGGTGGTTGTTCCAGCCATTGCCTATGCCTCGGCGGTATGGTTTCCTAATCTTTCTCAACGCTCCTTAAATGTTCTACTGCGTGCTCAAAGGCCTTTCCTAGTGAGAGCCTGTAGAGCTTTCAGATCAACCAGCAACGCTGCTCTTATCTCCCTCTCTAGAGTCCTTCCTCTCGATCTGGAAATCTCGGCTAAAACTGAGCTATACCTTAAAAAGTATGGATTCGTTGACGCTGAAATTCCACTCGAGCCTCCTCCCTTACCACACCCTCTCCCTTACCCCATACCCTCTCCCTATATTCCTGCTCTTTTCTTCCACGTGGCATACTATACAGATGATTCCAAAACCTGAGATGGAGTTGGCGCCGGCGTGCACAGGTTCTCTTCTCTCGATACGCGAATCTCATGTCCTGTCCCCTCATTGTTCTGTCTTTCAGGCGGAAGCCCTTGGATTGGTTAAGGCACTTGAAAACGCAACCACTTTACCATATCATCTAACCTTAGGATTCTTCCTGGACAACCTCTCAGTCTTGAAGTCAGTTCTGAATTCTAAGACTGGTAATTACCTTATCGACAGAGCTCTGCTACTGATTTCGCGATTGAATCGCAATGGGAACAGATGCACCATACAATGGATCAAGGGCCACCGTGAGAACGTGGGTAATGACACACATTGCGGACACATTCGCAAAGCGGGGTGCTGAGTCTGCTGACCCAAGCTGTTACAAACTCGCTCCTTTGTCGTTTGTAAAATCGGCAATCTACGGCCGGTCGCGTGAAGCATGGGAAAGCAGATTCCTCTCTCTAGCTCCTTCTATCCACACCCGCTTTGGCCTTACTCCAATGAGTCTTTTAGACAAAAGGTATGGGTACATCGTCCCTAGGGAGCACATTGTGGTTGGCCTGCTATCGGGACACACGTGGACGGACAGTTTCGCCCACAGGATAGGCGTCATTGACGATCCTTCCTGCCCTTACTGCGACGCTGACAGGGAAGAAACTCTGTCTCAGATCGTGCTTGAGTGCAGCAGCCTTGATGCCCTTAGATTCCACCTGTGCAGAAGAATTGGGGTATACTCCGCGGGGTCACTCAAAGACTTTATTTTCAACAGGAGCACTTGGCGAGCCTGCCTGGAGTTCCTAAAGGCCTCTGATAGACTTAAGCCACGCGTCCGCGTGGAGGATTCCGATCACCTGAGTGACTCGGACTCCTCACCTCATGGTTAACACCGGTCATTGGCGGCCGCTCGTAGACGCAACCCTGGCATGTGCCGCTGTTTAAGATCGGTTTCGCGACCTGCCCTGCGTATGTGATCGCCCCTGACACTGTCTCTGTAACCCAAGGACAAAGGGCAAATGGTTTGGCGATTCGACGGCGCGGGCTGCTCGAGAAATCGACTTACGCAGCGACCCATTTGAACGCACTATGCAATCTATGGTGTACTTTTCTGATTGGTTGTCTTAGTACCGGTACCCTCACCAGTAATCTTAATTAAAACTTTTATATATTCATTTTTACAAAAGAAAATCTATCTTTTCCCATCAGTTGCTGAATCATTCTCGCTTTATCAAATATTCTTATTTAAACAACAGCTGTCTTTCTTTTATTTTTCCTGGCCTGGAGAATCTAACCTTTTTGAACAGCCTTGGTTCTGTGCAGCACCTTGGTACTTTGATATAGTGCATTGCGGCTTGTCTGCCTGCTACACCTTTTGGGTTTAAAAATCATATACTTTAATCATTGCGGTATGTCTGCTCTCCACGGTCACCCCTGGGCTCAACACCATTGAACCCGTCTCTGCCACATCCTGAACTCCGCGGATCACCACCCTGCCCCCCCCCCCCCGGATCCTCCTCTACATCCTGGCTCTCCTGGCCTCACCTGGCGATGATCCCCTGGCCACCCATCCCCAGGCCCCTCCAACTGTGCTTTGTATATATTCCGCTTTATGCGTCCATCGGGGCTCAAAAATCATTCATTTTAGTTAGCAGCCCCGTAAATAAAGATAAATCAGTTTTGTTTAATTTTGAGATGAAATTTGTTTTGTTAAATTGCTTCTATGTAAATATTTTTAAAGAAGGAAAATAAACTTCTTTTTTTTTATAAGTTCTGATAATTTTTATAGCTTGAGGGATACATCTTCAAGAAAAATAACAGAAAGATTGCAATATTTTAATCAAATCAGCGGGTATATTATCTTGATCTATTCTTTTAAAAAGAGCTGGTCACCATGCATTGTCAAATGCACCCTCTATATCGATTGCAATCAGCGACACTAAATAATTCTGTCTATGTTCTAATATAACCTCTGTTATTTTTTCCAAACATGTTATCGTTGATTTCATGTTTATAAATCCATACTGTCTATTGTTTAAAGGATTATTTTCTTGATAAAATTCATAAATTTTATTTTTTAGCATTTTTTCAAAAATCTTGGAGAGATA